ACAAAAAACTCAAGGTTTACAAAATGAACGCATTACAAGTAAAAGAATTAATTAAAGACCTTAATAAAATGACATGAATATTATTCGCAGTATTATAGCTGACAAGACCGTTACCCGACTAATATAAAGAAGTTCAAATTAATAATAGGAAGTAGCCATAACTATAAAAAAATCATAAAATAAAATAAAAATAGGTAAGATTAAAATATAATAAATAATTAAAACGGTCAATATAAATTATCTTTGTTGAGTTCAGCTAAAAGTGAAACGATCCTGTCAACGATAACATCGCCACTAAGTAAAAGAGATAATAACAGATTTATATACATGAGCATTAATATTGCGGCGACGACTCTTGGAAGAGAAGGAAACAAATAAGGTTTTATTTTCATAATAAGCCGCAGTAGCTGTTGCCCAAATATTCTGTGTCCTTTTGAGAGTTAAGTCCATGCTTTTGAAATTTAATATAAATTATTTCTGATATCAGGTGTTTCAAGTAATAACGTTCCTCATGCAAAACTTTGGCTTGATCCCAATTGAAATCATAGTTTTCCCTCAAACGGTGTTCTTGTATGGCCGTTAACTCAACTGTAGAACTCCTTGGTATTCTCCTATGCTCAGCAATGCACGTAGAGAGTCTTCTACTGGTTTAACCAACATACGATGCCTCACAACTACTGCATTGCAATTTATACACAACGTTATTATGGAAACCAGGAGGCAACCTGTCTTTATGCACATGAATCATTCCTGATAATTTATTATTGTAAGAATAAGCAATATTTATCAAATTATTTTTAAAAAAGCTTTGTCAGTCTGTTCGAAACCACACCAAAAAACGGTATGGTAAAATATTTTTTATCATCATAACTAGATGCTATCAAATTTGTTTTAACTATCTCTGAACCTCGTCCGCAATTCATAATAAGAAACCTCAGTCTACGTTTTATAATTTTAAAAATTAGGTCCAAAGAATAATTATTATTAATTAGCGTCAAAATGATAAAGTCTAAATTATTCTTATGGAAAGTCGGATGACTAAGATAAAACATCCTATCCACCAAGCCAATAATTGTTTCGATCTTGTGTTGAATAGGATGAAAAGACAAATAGTTTAGGTACCGACAAGGCTATATGGCCCCAGGGATATGTTGCTCATATGCTTTTTTAAATATTTATCTTGAGAGGAATAATGAGAGAGTACAAAATCGCGAAATAGTCCTTTTAGAACATAAATACTTAATTACTTTTAGAACATAAATACTTTTCTCTAAATTTCGTTAAAATCAGTATAATATTACAGTTAAGAAATCGAAAAGAAAAATGATTTGGTAAATAAATAGCAAATTTAGGTTTGGACAGCAAAAATGATTTGGTAAATAAATAGCAAATTTAGATTTGAACAGCAAAGTAAATTTCAGAGCCTCTATAAAAGAAATTCTATATTAATATTCTCCATTTATCCTGATTGAATAAAATTAAGCGATGTATTACTAGCTAGAATGAAATTTCTTGCAAGTATATAGTATACTGTTTCTAATAATAAGTGCAATTTTCATATACTGACTGATATAAACTGACTGAAATAAAGTCCGCATACGGGCGGACGAGGTAAAGTTAATCTATAATTGAAGGTCGGCAGGAGAGCTGTGGAGACTTCTCGCGAAGACACTCTCTAGAACTACTAATCAGGATACATATTTTATATGTAGCTTTTTTTATCCTATGCAACTAAACTTCTTACCAGGGCAAGATGACTATGTTGCTGCAAATTCGTATTTTGGTTATTACAAGATAAAATATACGGTTAACAAGATCGTAGCAGACATTAATACATAGATAAGAAGGTTGCCTCTATTATATTTATAGAGTCAGTCACAACAATTAATTGCCTGAGAAGTTTTAACTTCGAAATTCTGAAATATAGAGCATCAAGCCCCGGTCTCCTCTACGCGAAGTGTGAGACATTTATCATCAGACATTCTGTACATTGAATATAAATATCGCATCTTTGCTTCTAAAGTAACACAACTCTAAAAACGTGATTTTCAAGTTATTACTATGAACGAATTAGGTGAACATATCGGGGTTATGAGCTGAAAATGACAGAAATGACATTTGATCATGTTTCTAAGAGTAAATATTTTTCGCCGAGAAATATTACTTTTAGCCAATAATTTTCCGTTAAGTTAAACGACAATTCTTTCCTTTTTCTGGAAAATTTAATTTTTTGGATTGTATTACTTTTGAGAAGCAAGGTTCTGATATATTATTATAAGTGTGTCATTGTAAGTGTTGTCATGTTAATTAGGTACTGAAATACCGAAGTAAAGGCGAACTATTTTGTCGCGGAGTAATCGAATTGTTGCAGGTCGGCTGCAAAGAAATCGAACCACGAAGGTCCACGTTAAATTCGCACAGATCGCGCCGGGCAAATCGGCAGAATATTTAACGGACGTCTGATCGACGCTTCTCTACACTCGCGTAGCTGCTCTCCGATGACGAAAATACTCGATTCCCGAGACGCATATGCACACGTACATCGCGTAAAAATACTTAAGCGTTTTAAATAGCGACCATCTCCCGAAATATCCGCGTCGTTTTAATGCGATATCGAGCCGGCTCGCCGCTTGACAGCCGGCGTGATTCCGACTTACGTCTCTCGAATCGCCGCCGCGCCCGGCTGCCAATGATTGAGATCGTGAGTCGCACATGAACCATGAATAATTTCACTCACTCGGCGACGACAGAGTGCTTAGGTGCGGCGGCAGGCCGGCGTAAGGAAGCGTCGGCAGGTAATTCCGCGGTAACGGCAGCCCCGGTGGAAAGAGTTTGGGCGCGGTCGCCGCCAACGGTTGCTCCTGCTGGCCGCTGCTTCCGGCGCCGGTCGAGTGCGAGTCACTGCCGGGCGACGAAGAGGACGCCGTGGCGCCCGACGACGAGGATTTCGGTTTGGTGAGGTTCAAAGGAGCGTCGAGATCCTGAAGAGGCGGCGCCGTCGGCGCTACGGCGGATGAGATCGGCGCTGGTGACGATTCCTTCTCCATCTGCGTGGTCATTTGCGCGAGGTGCGCGGTCGCCCAACTCGGGCCATCCCGATGACTGCTGATCATCTGCGAACGAGCAAGAGTAGAGAGGTCAAAACAGCAAATCTCGACGTTATCCTTAGAAAGGTAGCGGGAGTAACTTTTACTCATAAGGGGAGAGTAAATTTCATAGTAAAAATTGCTAGGGTAAATTCGGATATGATGGCCATAGGTTCTAATTTCTCTAATAATTTTAAAACATTGCGTTTGTGTAATCAGTCATAAAGATAATCGACATTTATCGTAGTGTACGTGCGTACATTTTTCGAAATAGATTATGAATATTATACTATATTTTTATTTTCGACTATCGGTAAAGTTTCTCATGTATCCACTAAAACTTGCTAAAACGTCGTATAAATTACAGTTAAGCAATTATCGCAATCGACGTTCCATACATAAAGTAGGTATGTAAATTGTAATATAACATGCATTTTTATTTTCATTTTCACTATTTGTTTGTAAGTACTATTATAATCGTCTTTCACTCACATTTTGGGTAAGATGGTCCACCATCTTTCTCTAAAACATTTATAAAACAAAAGTCGTTATATTTCAAAAATTATTTTCAATATTACAGTAATTAAATCTTATGTTTTGATCAAAAATTGGATTTAAAATTTAAAGTTTTATAATAGAGGTTTCTATTTTATATGTATATTATATTTTTCACAAATAATATATATTAAATATCCTATACTAAAATGAATATATCAAATTATGTTTTTTTCATTATTTTATAAAATAATAGATACAGAATCTTGAACATAAAATATGTATGGGTCATCTATTCGATATGGCCATCTTAAACATTTAGGTAAGATGGCCAATGCTCATGTTTTGATATTTTTGTAATAAATAATTTCATTAAAGTATTTTTCTTTTAACTCTGATGGTATTATGTACTGTAGGCTTCAGTGAAGTAATGTGCCAAACGCTATTAAGAAATAACAATAAGAA